ATGGGTTTTTCCGGACTACCAGTGGGAAATGTACCACTTTGGATAAGAAAATAAATGTTTTTAGGGTTTTTTTATAAATTTTACTCTTCACTTACTCTTTTAACAAAACCCCTAACAAAGTAGTAAAGTATAAACACATCCCATTTTTTTTTCCCTAAAAGGGACCTATATTTTGTGTGTGTGTTATCAAATACTTTCTTTCACATCCTTCATGAAGAGGCCCTGTAATAACAGCTGGGACAGACCGAGCTATACCTGCCTGATTGACTCACCAAAATCATGGTGCGCTTGCAGCCCGAAAAGCCAACCGTATCCTGGGCTGCATCAAAAGGAGCGTGACCAGCAGGTTGAAGGAGGTGATCCTGCCCCTCTACTCTGCTCTTGTGAGACCTCACCTGGAGTATTGTGTGCAGTTCTGGTGTCCTCAACATAAAAAGGACATGGAACTGTTGGAACAAGTCCAGAGAAGGGCCACGAGGATGATCAGGGGACTGGAGCACCTCCCATATGAAGACAGGCTGAGAAAGTTGGGGCTGTTCAGCCTGGAGAAGGGAAGGCTGCGTGGAGACCTCATAGCAGCCTTCCAGTATCTGAAGGGGGTCTGTAGGGATGCTGGGGAGGGACTCTTCGTTAGGGACTGCAGTGATAGGACAAGGGGTAATGGGTTAAAACTTAAACAGGGGATGTTTAGATTGGATGTAAGGAGGAAATTCTTTCCTGTGAGGGTGGTGAGGCACTGAGTAGGTTGCCCAGGGAGGCTGTGAATGCTCCATCGCTGGCAGTGTTCAAGACCAGGCTGGACAAGGCCCTGGGTGATAAGGTTTAGTGTGAGGTGTCTCTGCCCATGGCAGGGGTCTTGGAACTTGATGATCTTAAGGTCCTTTCCAACCCTAACTGGTCTATGATTCTATGGGGATTTTCCAGCATGTTCTGCTGTCTGTCAAGATAGCCAGGTAAAAATATACCAGCCTAGTCAACTTACAAAGTTTAGCAGTTTTGGCAAGGGGTGTGTTTTTGCATAGCCCAGATTTTTCCAGGCTTTATTACCGCATAGACTTTTTTTTTTTCCCACATATAACAAAGGCCTTGGTTTTATTGGAAATTCGTAACAATGGACTGCAGAAATCACATTGTGAAGTGGTTTGGGTGTTAGTGGGTTTTTCTGCTTGTTTTCAACCTCTACAGCTACTTACCATCCTTGAAGAAACCCAAACTGGTTTCTATTTACTCTTTATCATGCTTAATAGGCATAGAGCTTTGTTCTCATTTATCTCTCTTTAAGACATGGTCTTCAGATAGGAAGATTCTGCTTTCCTACTCTAAGGGTGTTTGAAGGATTAATGGGGTGGCTTCCTGTTTTCCATAGGTCTGTGTATACGCTATTTCTCTCTGAAAGACTTTACTTCCTTTGTGACAAATCCTGTTGTGAGGAGCCTTGATGAGCTGATGAAACAATGTTGTAGAAATACCTTCAGTCTGATGGGTATTTGAAGAAAAAGTGTGATGTAACTTTAAAAACTACATTCAGTACTTCAGTTTGAGTCAAGTAACCTCAAAAAGAAATGATTTCTTCTTGTAGAAGAATTTATGCTTAGTGTAATACAGAGGGGTTAACCTATAAGTAAAACTCAGCAAATGCCCTTTGTATTTAAATGTTACTTGTGCTTCATCAACAGTCTAGAGAAATACATGGCCAAGGATTTTAATTGCATGTTTTAGTATCTAGTACTTCCAAGTTTTTACTGTAACACAGCTTTGTGTCCTACCTTGACTGGTACAGGAGTATTACAAAGAGTGTAAAGACTGCCAAGACATTACCTTTGCACAGGTCAGGTTTTATGATCGTTGTGTAAAATGGCAAGTACAGGAAAGCTCTGAAGAGAACAATTATGCCTTCTTTTTGCATTTGCAAGGATATGCACTGTATGAGGAGACAATAATACCTATGATTACTCACATTTGAAGTTGAGTAACAATTTAATGAATAGATGGGAATGTTTTAAAAAGCTTTTGTATCTGCCAAAGTGAATCTAACATTATGTTTTATAGCATGCTGATTTTTGTATCATTTTATTCTAATATACAATAAACTTCTTGTCTCATTCTAATTATACATTATTTAAATCACACATAATAGAAATAGTCAGAATTCAACAGACTACAGGGAGTAAGCTGTTCTAGGCACATACTTCTAATGCATCAGAGTTATTTAACTGTCTTCTGGGCCCTAACATTTCTGAATGTCTTATCTTACATTTACAGTTTTCTAGATAAAAATGGGATGTGGTTTGGTTTAATGTAGCTGATACTAAACAACCATATTTAATTGCTGATCAGTGTTTTTTCCATTATAGTATTTTTAACTTTTCTGTTTGTAGTAAAACACAGTCTTTCCATACATCTGAAAAACAAGCTATGGAATCAGTTTCTTCAAGGGGTGTACCTTTTTGGTGGGTTATCAAACTGGACTGCATTTAATACTGACAAGTTACTAGTCTCAATGAAGGATACACCTTTTGACAAGGGATGTTCTAGCCCAAATCCTTGTGGCCATTCTGTTGAATTATTTGTAAGAGTTGGAAAATACTTGGGATTTGTTTTTGGTGGGGTTTTCTTGTTTTGTTTTAAAAGTCCAGAATTCTGGTTCTGCAGGCCTATACTTGTGCCTGGCAATATATTTCATTGCATGTGCTTAACGTGTGCTGGAACTAGGATGTCAAGCTGAAGTAGAGAGAAATGCCTTGTGATTCTGAATCACTTGCTAGTTAGATAATAATCCTCAGTAGCTTGCAAGATCTAGGCTGTACAGCTTGCAAAGAGCTATGTATGATGGTGTTTAAAAAAAACCTCAGCCAGTCTAATGATATATTTACTTAGCTCTTATTTCCGTAGTTGTTCAACAGACATATACCAATGTGCAGCTGCACTATATATGTTTTTACACTTTAGCTTTTAATGTATACACTGATCTAGTATTTTCTGTATAAAAGGAGTGATAATAAATTAGTTTTCTCTCTTCAGAAATTAAAGTATGGGTTCTTTGGTTGTTTTTTTTTCCAGAAAAGATAACTGACACCATTAAACTGACACCATTAACTGCTATCCACTTCAACATTTCAAAATAAAAAATCGAGCTCTCTACTATGGGAACAAATTCTGACATTAATTCTAACATTAATTACTCTCTTTAAGCTGGTTTTAGATGTATGATGTAAAACCACCCAGTTTTATAATATTGACCATTGCTTGGGGATGGTTTTTTTTTTTAAACTGCTCTGCAGATCTGACCCAAATTGTGATTTTTAATGGAAAAAAGACAACAAATTAAATACATGGATTAAAAAAATGTGATAATTAGTGTATGAATGCTATTCACAAAAATGGTGGACATATTTGATAGCCCAAATGCTTACACGCTTTTCTTCTGGATTTCATAATGGCATTATTTCAAATCAGTGCTATTTTCTGTAATAAACCCTCTATTCTGTAACTTAACGACATGCAAACACATTTGCATCTATGTCATATTAGCTGTCAGAAAGAGGTGTTAATTTGGAAATGGTGTTTTTTGGACTTTAAAAGAAGGACACTGCTTTTGATAAGAAGGATTTTAAATACACCTGAAAACAGAGCACTGAGCTACTCTGGCTCGTAAAAAAAAAAAACAAATTTTTTATCCCATCTAAACTTCTGGTGAGTCTTGATGAAAACTTTAAAAAGCTGGCTTGAGGTCTATGAACATCATTAATGGAGATCTTGTGGGTTTGGTTTCTAAATGAGGTTCTTGTCCAAATAACAATTCCCTACCTGCAACAGATGGTGAGGTCCTGTTTCCATTTGGCCTTTAAGCATTTGAGGAGTACACAATGCTGCAATATTCTTACATATATAGATTAACTTGGCATGCTACTACACTTCCATTGCTCCAGCTTTGTGCCACAGTTGCAAAAGGCCCTTTGGGACTCAGCTGGGGAACCCTTATCAAAATAAAAGCAAACTGCTTTGGGTTTGTTTGGTTGATTGGTTTTTGTTTGTCTGGTTTTTGTTTTTTAGCTGAAAATTCCTGTTAGTTTTATATCAGTCTTGAACAGTACAGCCACTGTGCCCTGTGGATCTGCATCTGGCTTGTTGAATCATCTTGGTTTTACCCCTAAAACAGAGGACCTGAACTGTGATTTAGATTTATTCTTGATTCACTTTTAAGTTGGTAGAGGGGGGAAAAAAGCCATTTTCTTCAGGTAACGTTGTCACACCAGTGCAGCAACAGACCACTTCTGCCTTTCAGCTCTGCCTTTCCGCTTACCTACGCTTTTTGCAATTAGAAAGAAAAGGAGTATGAATGTGCAGTGTTACACTGGCTCGCCAGGTCTTTAGCCATGCGCGGGTGCGCAGCTATCTCAAGCAGCTGGATAGTTTGGAGCATTAAAATGTCAAAAGCTGGCCGTTCTGTTCCGGAGCTGCGGCAGCTCCCACTGCTGAGAAGCGCCTCTTGGCTGGGGGCAGCTCCTAGGAAAAGGCACGGGTCGTAACTGCTTTATTGCGGTCTTCACGTGACTGGGGAGGGGAATTCGGTGCACATCTGAAAGGTGAGGAGAAGGGATCTTACGCCGCCGTCTCCTGGAGAGGCTGCCCGCTTGTGAAGCACCTGACGGGATGATATCCGTACCCTTACCAGGGCAGCGTGCTAGAGGCGGAAAGGCCGCCCTCCTACCAGCTCCCGCGGAGCCACCACCCTCGTGAGGCTCCCTCGGCGGGAAGCAGGCGGGCTGAGGCCACTTCGGTGCAGGAGCGGAGGGAACCGGGCTTCCCGTGGGGCCCCGCTCGGCTCCCGCCCACTGGCATGCTGGGAGTCGTAGTCCTCCCGGTGGGAGCCGCCGCTCTGCTTCCGGGAGCAGCTAGCGGCCGTTGGAAGGGGAGCGGGACCGGACGGACCGAGGCTCGGGTCACGTGGGGCACGTGTTGACTTCCTCGACAGGCGGGGGGCGGGGCTCCGGGAGCTCCCCGCGGTGGCGGAAGGTGGTTCTGTGGCCATGGGATCCCGAGGGGGCCCGGGCGGAGGCTGCGAGGGCCGGCGGTGCCTCTCCGCCGGGCTGACCGCACACCACTGACTCGCGCGGTCCGAGCGGGGCCTGGAGAGGTTTGTCCTGGCGCGGGGGATGGGCCGCGGGCGGGGCACGGGGGCTGCTGGGGACACATCGGTGGCCGCGGCCCTGCGGCCGGCCCCTCTCCCGAGGGGTGCTGGGGAGCTTCGTACCCTCTTGCCCCGTGGAATAGGAGCGGTTCCCCTGGGGACAGGGGCGGTTCTGGCCGATCTTTAGGCTCTCTTCTTAAAATAGAGGGAGCAAGTTGGTAGTAGAGTGTGATGTACGTGCCTGCCTGTGCTCTGCATGTGCAGCGTGGATAGGTTAAAGAGGGGCATCCCGTTGAAAGACGGTGAGCATGATTTAAAGGTACTGCTAGCGAGCTGGGAGTGGGCCTCAGGTAGGCAATAAAGCCAGTTAAAAACCTACACCCCATTAAGCTGAAAAACCGGTTGAGTTTTTGGAGCAGCAATTTATGTGTTAGAACAGGGGAATCTGGCAAAGGAAATGAACGAAGTAGGATTATTGGCACAAGATGTGGAAACAAATACGATGAAATACTGGAGCAGATTGGAATACAGGTGTCGCAGGCTGTGTTGGTTTGCATAGAAGTACAGGTGTAGGGAGTACAGGTGAGTGTTGATGTAGTCCTAGGTGCTAGTAATGCTTCAACTTTTCAGAATTTACAGCTTTAAATCCTGGTGTTTCACCTGGTAAGGAAGTCACTCGTCTCCTTAAATAAGCCTGCGCCCCACCAATTTGCAAGAGAGTGTGGGTTGGGCTATAAATCATTCCAGTGAGTGATTTAGGAGCTTTTGCATTTCTTGGGGAATCCTTTAGGTTCCTTGCTGCCCTGCACTGTGTGTATGCAGTAACATTGGCATGCTGGAAGCCAGGTCTGGGAGAAGCAGAGTGAGGGGCGGATTATTGTCGTAACATATTGTTTGCACTGGGTGCCAGAGGTTAGGTGCTCTTCTGACACAAGGGTTTTCTCAGGTTACAGTTCAGAAAAGTATAAAGTGAGCATTGGCAGAATACTGGTTATGTTTTACAATGAATATTAAATAGTGAAAAGGCCTTTAATACAGCAAAGGGGATGAACATTTTTTTGCAGCAAAAATGAGTAATAGAGGTAATTTTATGATTGCCTAAATTTCAGCAAATATTCTGATTTGGTTTTCAGTAGGTCTCTTTTTATATATGGCAGTATAAAGGTGGGGAGGGTGTGAAAAGTACCAGATCAAGTACACGAACAGACTGTATTTAGTATAGTCAGGGTGCAGAAATAGAATAATTGCATCTCACAGTGTTGAAAAAAACAGTACATGAAGTTGCAAATCCAGTAATATTTGTGATATCACTAGATACCTTGAATTGAGGATTGTGATTTATATGACTGGAAAATGTTAAGTGTGGGATGTCTACTTATGAAAGTTACCCTGAAAAAAGTGCAGACCTGTCTCTGCATATGTTATCAGTGTCTGACTTCTAAAGAAGAGATTTTGAAGGAAATAAGTGAAAAGGTAGAAGGGAGTGGGATAAAATGCAGTGTGGACGTACTTTTTGATACATGTGTTAATTCTTTCACAGGTATTTTCTGAACAGAGGAAGTCTAGATGGGCAATATTCAGTAAAACAGTTGCAGTGGCAGTGAGTTTGAGTTTGTTAAAATGGCGATGATGGGATTAATACGAGAGTTGGGGTAGTAACTAGCTTGGTGTAAGTCAATGGTGGGTTCTGCTGAGGGGAACTTACAGAGATTCTGTATGTTTGTGATTTATTCACAATCAGCTTTGCAGTCACTCTTATATTTTCATGATATGTTTATACTTTAATTGCATTAACTGTTATTTACATGATTATATAATATTTTTATGTGGAGTTCTTGGTGTGTAAAATCATAAATGCTTCCAAAATTTGACAGGTCATCTGGGAAGAAGTTTGAGAAGGGAAGTGAGGCATAAGTAACTTGGACACTCAGTCATCCACTTAGACTAGAACTTGTGTTCAAATGTCCAGGTTTGTCTGAAATAATGAGATGTAGACCTGAATTGTAGAATAGCCTAGGTTAGGAAGGACCTGGAAAGATCATCTGGTCCAGTCTTTTGTGGGAAAGGGAGCCTAGATGAGATTATCTAGCACCCTGTACAGTTGTGTGTTGAAAACATCCAGATGTTCTGGCAGGATGACCAAGGGCCATCAGTGTGAATCACTTTAACTTGCCTTTTAAGAGCTGTAGTAATATCTTATCACCAAACTTGTGAGCTTATTGAAAATTAATCTGACAGTTGGATTCAATGGGAGGAAATTTATGACTGAGGTAAGATCTACTGTTTGTTTTACAAAAGGAGATTTAAAAATAACCCAACCCAAACTCCCTTTAGTTTCTGTAAATGGCAGTTCTTTACAAACATTTTGAAATGGGAAGGAATTCACACCAAAAAAGTGTCTATTAAAATAATATTCAGTGTTAGCACATATGAGAACATATGGGGTTTTCAGCAACCTTTGAATATATTTACATTTGGTGCTAGAAAAGTTTAACAGCCAGGAGCCGTCTTGCTCCTACTTGTGTTTCTTTGCAATATTGCTTCTAGTTAGTTTCGAGATTACATTTAGTAGTTTAATAATCAGGATTGTATGGTGCTGAGAGGGCAATATTTGACTCCAATTCTTCTGTTCTAACACCCCCCACCCCCCCCCGCCCTTCCTTTCCTTTTCTGGTAGTTATGCGGGAAACTGGTTGTTGTGACGGCATCCACAGACAGGCAGATGGACTACATTATGTTGAGGATGCGTAGGGCTTGCAGATTAGCAGCGAAGGTACTAGAGTATGAAACTGTTCAGATAAAGTAAAATTTATTAAGCACTGTTGTCATAAAATGTATTTCTCGTGAGAGTAGATTATTTATTGTAAAAAGCTTGAGATTGAAAAATTGCCCATTATACCCAAATAGGTTTTGTTTGGCTCCTCTGGCTTACTCAGATTTCACAATACAAAGCAGAAGGTACTCACTGTAGTTCATCTGAGCTGAGAGGTAGTTACTTCACTTCCTGGAGGCAGCAAAATCTGTGCAGTTTGGAGGTGTGATTTTAGCTGATGTGTTGATGTGTTTCTGAAAGATTATCAGGTATGGTGAAGCTGCAGGGATGTGCCCTTATATGCATGAACTTTCAGGGAGTGCTTTGGAGCTGTGGACTTTGTCCATAGGGAAGAATAAGAAGTGGCCAAAGCTAGCAGCTACTGAAATGTGCATGTGCTGGTTTGTTGTTTTTTTTTGCTCTAGTAATGGAGCAAATATCTGTAAAAAGCCATGTTTCTCTCTTAGAACAGACTGTTCACAACTGGAATCAAAGAAACTGAGATTTCTGAGGGAGAGATGCGAAAAGATAGACTGGAAGACTTGCCTGGTTTATGTGTCGTATACTCCATACACTATGGAGTTTTGGATGCTGGCTGCAGGAACTCTTATTTTTTGTTGCTGTGCTGGAGTGTCTTACAAAAGTAAAGCTTGTACAAAACTTTTACAAAAGTAAAACTTCTGAAATGAAGGTGAGGGCTTCAATGCACTCATTCAGGATTCCTGTGGTTCAAAAGAATTTCTTGAACTTAATGTTTAAGTTTTATCTCTACATGCGTATATACAATCTTCTATGTAAGGCAGTGTAAACAGTACAGAAATTATACTCTTGTTATTAGTATTGGAGATTGTTCATGATACCACCATGAAGTCAAACCCCTTAAATCTGGAAGGTAAACAAAGTAAAATGGTTCATTCTCAGTAGCCTTAGTAAAAACCAGGAAAATACTGTGTTGAAATTATTTGCATTTTTCATTTGGAAATATTTTGAAAACCGTTCTAGTCTCTTTCAAGTCAAAAGGTGGGAAAATGGGGATCTGCTCAATACTGGGAAAAATTTAATGTAATCCTGCTTTTACTATTTCTCCTCCTGATCTGAGAATAGGATTAGCATTTCAAACTACAGGAATCTGTTTGTGCAGTGGGTCTGATTGCTGTTAGAGCCTCTGCATCCTGTGTTCCTCTTATATACAATGTGTTTTATATTTAAGTACCACCCATGGTGTTAATGACTAATATTTGTAAAGCTCTGTGAAGAGAAAGTCTCTATGTCTATTTTCCCATTAGTAAGAAATGGGAAAACATTCTTATTCTCAAGGTATTTAATACATTAAATCAAAGCTGATCTGTAACCTACATTAATCATTGATGAGCAATGAAAGTGGTTTCTGCAAACACTTCTGTAGTATGTTAAAGAAAATGTGATACTATATCTTCAAACTAATGCTTATAAACAGTGGAGATAATTACTCCTGTCAGAACTTAATGCTATATCCTGTCAACAGCATATTTGCTTGTTTGTATTTTTCTCTTCAAAAGCATAAATTATTTAATGCAAACACTAATACTGATACTAATTTAATGATCTTATTTTTAGAAGATTAAAGTCCTTTTAAATAGGCTCTTGCATATGCAGAGCAGTCTAATAAAAACTACAGATGTAACATGTTCCTTTGTCACAGGGAGAAGTTAGGGAGACCTTTTTGGGGATGGAATGTGTAATAAGTGGAATTGCAAATCTTGCTTTCAGTAGACCAAGGTGGACATCAGTTGTATTAATAGACATTAGCTTGTCTGTATACTACTTTTAACATTTTAGTGGGAAATCTTTCACTGATTATTCTTGTACAGAATCTCATGAATTTCATTATTTCATTAATTACAACTCCAGAGTGATCAAATTTCAGTGCTTCAGAGTAACAGCTCAGGGGCATTTGCAGCAGTGCATGAGTGTGGTTTTGAACGGGAGTAGCTAAACAAAATAAAGCACGGACAGAATCGTCTGTGCTTGGGCTCGGTGAGCCATCCTGCCAGTCCTTCTGGGACTGCCGGATTTGAGGAGTTGTAACTTTTGGAATAATCTATTCATGTGTGTGTCAGAAAGCATTTCTTGAGTTGTTGCTTACAGTTCATATTTATTAAATGATGTAATTTAATACTGGAGAAACTAAATTTGAATTCCTGCCCTTAAAGAGCAAAATCTAAGGCTACAGTTGCAGTCAGGGATTTCTTACGGATGTAGCCCTATTTTGTAAGGCTTTGTCTTCTAAGGGTATCTGTTTATTGCTTTAATATAATGAGAGAGCTTCTTGTGGAGAAAGTATTTGTGAGCATGCTTTCTGGTTTTGGTTTTTTCTTTTTCCTGACAACAAAACAAAGAGCTGGGTGATCTGTGCATTTCACTATGACCTTTATAGAACTGCTGATCTTAAACTGTTTAATGGCCAGGTTTTATTCTTGTATGAGCTTATATCTTTTATTGGCCTTTTAATACTGGCTTAGCAGGTACAGGAAAAGTAACTTTGTGTTATTCTTTTTCTTCATAAATAGTTCAGAAAGTCTTTTGCAGCATAAACTGTTTGGGTCTTGTTTGTTTTTTAGGTTGTGTTGATATAGTATATGTCAACATAATATATATACTTAGGTGTATTTATCAAAGATGCTATGATTTACCTGATGTGACTGTTTCCTCATGCTCATCTAATCTATACTGCAGTTAGTGGTGCATATAACTTACTTTTGAGTCATTGTGCGCCTATCCAGCACAGAAGTCGGAGTTCTTTTTGTCTTAGGAAATGTTTTATAGTTCTGTAGACTGAGATTGGAAACTTCTTGAAATATGCAATAAAAGGAATATTCAGTAAGCACAAGCAGCAGAATGATGTTTACTAGTAGAGTTCACTGTTGAAGTTTTACCAACTCATACCTGAGATTTGTTAAATGGATTTTTTCTGTAGTTATTTTCCTCTTCTATAAATTTGTTAAAATTTTGCAGAGTTTTGGGGTTTGGTGTGGCTTTTTTGGTTGTTTGTTTTGTTTTTTGTTTTAACTGTGTGGGTTTGTAGAATAACTTATGGCAAAGATGGGGAGCTATTTGGAATAAAATATGTGAAAACTTTTCAGATTGACTGACAACAGTGTCAGGAAATCTCTTAGAAATCATAGTGGCTTGCTTATTTTGTAAAGAAAATGTACTTTTGGTTTCACAAGTAATGCTCTTTTGCAAAAGTAGAAATGTCCTTTAGGAGGTAGTGGTAAATCTCAAATTTTGCTTGCTTACTGTCTATGCTATAGCTTTCTGAGGTGATTTTTTGCTAACCTTAGTCATGTAAATATTCTATTATTATACTTCTTTCATGTGATGCTCTAAAATTCTGAATAAATTAGTACTCAGTGGCATTTCAATTTCAATTTAAATTGATTAGGAAGTGATGTCTGTCTGATGTCTCAGTTTTGTTTCTGTGTTGTTGGGCAGGATGACAGTGGTGATTTGAATTGTGTTTCTTGTAAAGCTGAAACGATTGCAGTTTTTGTGGTTGTGGCACTGTAATATGGTGTATGGGTATCATTTTTTTCCCCTTTTTGATGGGCTGTTGAGCTTCCACTACAGACAAGCATGTTTCATTACTTTTTTTATTTCTTTTTAATAATTTGAGAGTTTAAAAATAGCATGATTCCTTCTGAATAACTCGCTGCATTTTGAAAAATGTGTGTTACAAGCCCCTTTGATTATGTGAAATTATATTCTTATCTTCTAAATAACATCCAGTGTTGGTTTAGAGAGCAGCAACAGAAAACCAGAGCTGAGTAATCCTGTAAACTGAGTTCTTTAAAGTAAAAAAAAAAGCTATTGTAACTAGCCCTCTTGGTAGGTGCAGGTTAAGTGTGTACCAGAATTAATAGTACTTGTGTATGCTGCATCTTACCGTGAAAGGCCTTGGAAGCTTATAAAGGTGGTAAGGTTTAGTCAGCAAAATACAGAACAAATATGGTCTTGTCTGCTGGTGTTGTCTCCTGTTTTCCCTTATTGCCATCTCCTGGTGGAACCGGTGTGTGCAAGAAATAGGGAATGCATGATGCTGAAGTTTAGGAGCTATAGGGAAGTGTGGGGATGAAGATGTATTTTATGTACAAGGTCACACAATCTGCAGCTTTCTTCTAGAGATAATGATAAGCTGTGACACTTCTTTAATGACATTTGGGTCTAGTTCAGAGAAAAGGAGATGTGTTGCCTTGAGAAAGCAAGCTCTTGGAATTTGATGAGATGGGTGACAACTCATAGGGCCCTTGGTACAACGTGGGAGGAAAAGCTGTTATGCTCATCTTAGAAGACAAAATCGGCAATTCTTTCAGTTAGTTAATGCTGTTTGGATGATGTGGTGCTTTTGGTCAAGGTCACCTTGTTCATGGAGCAGTGATATTCTTGCACTGAAAAGGAAACAAACCTTTTTTACTGAAGTATGAGGCAGAGCAACAGGCAAGGGAAGCGTAGGCTACCTCCTGTTTTGTTAGAATACATCAGTGTACAAGGCATCTGTTTGCCTTCTGAAGACAACCATTAAAAGGACTTCAGGTTTGGTTTGTAGTTTTTTCTTGTCTCTTTTCACTGTTGCAACTCCACTGCCATCTGTTTAGTATAAACGAGCTGTCGTTTTTTTTTCTCAAGTTGTCTTAACTGGCTTGGAGCAAATGGAGACAAATGTGGTAACCACACCATTGTTCACCTATAGCTGTACTACAGCTCTTCATAGTGCTGCAGCCCATGTGGCTTTTCCAGTGCTAGCACAGTGAGGGAAGTTTGACCACATGGATAAGCTCCAGGGTAGTTGATCCCTTTACCTCTTAGTATTGCTAAACAAATGACTGTCTAGTTTGAATTTAAATAACAAATACACAGTAGAGGTAGCAGTTGTGTTTGTGGGGTTGCAGTCCTACTGGTGCCTGTCTTTCCTGTGAAGTTGTGATCAGGGCAATTTCTTGTTGAAATAACTCTTTCCTACAATACAAACTGTCTTCATAGAATCACAGAATAGTTCGGGTTGGAAAGGACCTTAAGGTCATCTAGTTTCAACCCCCCTGCTGTGGCCAGGGGTGCCTCCCACTGCACCCCAAGGCGCTGTCTAACCCGGCCTTGAACACAGCCAGGGATGGAGCAAGCATTCACCACTTCTCTGGGCCAACCCATTCCAGTGCCTCACCACCCTTACAGTAAAGAACTTCTTCCTTATATCTAACCTGAACTTCCTGTTTAAGTCTAAACCCATTACCCCTTGTCCTATTGCTACAGTCCCTGATGAAGAGTCCCTCTCCAACACTATACTAATTCCATTCATTACAGAATTTCTGTTGGTTCATCAGGAACCTAAGGATTTTTTCAATGTGAAAAAATGAAAATCTGCTTTTGCTAAAAGTAGCATCAGCAGTTTGTTTAAGGAGGGAGGGAAATATTATCAGCTACTGTATAGCATTGGTTAGTATTGCATATAAATGACCCTAAGTAAAAATGAGCTGTGTCTTTTTTAGTTTGATTGGTTTGGGGTTTTTTGGGATGGCTTGTTTTTAAATCAACCCCCTGTACTTGTTCCTGATAACTAGTAACATTAAGGAAGATGCTGTTGGGGGTTTTCCCTTAAGACCTGGAGTTCAGGAAAGTATATGGAGTTTTTTAAAGATGCTCTTTCCTTTTTGAATGTTTTGCTGTGCTTAAATGACAAGAGTTGTAACAGAAACTCAGTCTAATGGTTAATTTACATTTGTCAGTCAGGTGGATTTGCCTAGTATTTTAGAGTAATACTTTTCTTATGGTCAGATTATTGTCAGTTTTCTCCATGCAGTCAAGAATTACTGCCTCAACATGCCTCAGGCATGTTCAGCAGGATATTTTCTACTGTGACCAAGTAAAGAATAGCTACACATGCAGCCTCCTTGAGGGCTAATGCAAATATACCTTAAGATTCCATTTTGAAGCTTGGGAAAAGTATAAATACTTGCATTCAAGAATGAAGGAAATCTGGCACTTGTGCTCAGGAACCACAGTACTTAGTTTCTTGCAACTACGATCTCTTTTACTGCTCAGTGCTGGCTTGCAAAAACTCTAATAAGATATTCCTTTGGAGCTCAAGTGTTTGGTACCAGCCAAATTGTAGGATGGTGTTAAATGTTAATAAATGTGAATTTGGGGGTTCATAAATCTGATACTCAAAATATTTTTATGAAGTAACAGTGAAAGATGCTGCTTTTCTAACCAGTGTATTTTCACTGTATAAGAAGTTTCAGGAATTTTCTTCAAGATTAAGTTATTTCCTAATTCTTCAGTGGTGTCACAGACAGAAACACCCTGCAGTATTATTTGGAAGCTTTTTAGACTTAGGGCTCTTGATGGATTTGTCTCTGAAAATTTTGCACTCTGTCTTTCTAATAGCTGTCATGGAGGAGTTGGTGGAGGATGACATCTGTATTTTGAACCATGAAAAAGCAGACAACACTCATAAGAGAGATGGGGAGATTCCTGTTTCATCTTACAGCGGAGACGAGTCTGTTGCCTCACACTTTGCACTTGTCACTGCATATGAAGATATCAAGAAACGACTTAAGGAGACAGAGAAGGAGAACTCCTCCTTAAAAAGAAGAGTGAGAGTTCTAGAAGAGAAGGTAAGAAAAAAGTCTGTTTACCAGCTTCTGCTAGCAACTGCTGGGTTTTTTTTGTTCCTGGCTGGAGCAGATGGTTAAGTACTTAAAGTATGTACTTTTTCCAAGTTAAGTCCTGGTAAATTGTTTCATTTGCTTGATTGGAACATAGTTTGTTCCTTTGGTACTCTAGTTACATCATGCTGGGACTTTTGGTTCTTACTGGGCATGTCTGTGATGCAGTGCAGAAGTGCCCTGCAAAGACAATAGCTTTGATTTGGAAAGACACGTAGGGTGCATTGTGTTGTTACTGTATTTCATCTACCTCTTTATGATGTTTATAGAGGTGCCAAGTATACAAATTGTCAGAATCCTGGAACTTGCCTATTGAAAGAATTTCTTGGGTTCAACTTGCTGAAATGATAAGGAAAAATTGGTTGTTAAGAATGGTGCTGATGTGGAAGTTAACAGTTACTTGTAAAATAGTTCAGCTTTGGTTTTTCTCACATAAATAATCTGAAAAAATCTTTGCTTAAGTTATGAGTCACTAAAAAAATCTTCAGTATCCTCTGAATTTTCTGTATGTGGTGTCCTAGTATGCTCAAAACTCTTCTTCCAAAAGGCAGTTTGTATATGTCTAGAAAAATGGGATTTAGGGATTGTCAGTGTGACTTCTGATGGTTTTTAAATACAGCAGTGACCTAGTGAGCATTAAGTATGGTTAGAGACTGCAGAATTTGTAGACAGCCTATGTTGCATTATTGTGCTAAAAATTAAAATGTTCTTAGCTTAAAGTTGCAGGCTGTGCTCTTGCAGTTCTCAGTATAACATACAAAACTACTTGCTTCTCATGTCTGTTAAACTTCTAGCTGCTTGGTTCCCGACTGGAAGAGGAATGCAGTTCAGTTGGACGTGAACAAGTAAATAAGGCATACCAAGCCTATCGAGAGGCCTGCATTGACAGAGATAATCTGAAAAGCAAGCTGGATAAAATGGTACACCTGTTTAAGGAGTGGCATGCATGCATGATATAAAAGTACTGCAGAGTTAATAGATTTTACCGTAGAATTAATATTATTTGCTGAAAGTCTGTGCTGTTTGTTTTATCACTCCTTTAGGTTTTTAAAGTACATGACTGTACTTTACGTAGGGATAACAGTTGTAAGTATCTCAATTTTATTGCTGGGCTAGGTTAATGCTAAACACTCCAAAGAATATTTTTTTTCTTAAAAAGTTGAATTGTCAGGATAGAAAAACGCTTCACAAATGGTTTTGTCCCTTCTCCCTGAAAACAGGTGAAAGAATGTTCAGAATCCTTGAAAACCTTGAATGAACAGTTGCAGTCTAAAGAAGTAGAGCTGTTACAGCTAAGAACTGAAGTGGAAACTCAACAAGGTATGCGTTCGGTTACTTCATCTCAATCTATACTGACTAGTCTTAATGGTGATGTTACGATCTTGGGGCATGAAGAGGTTTCACCTATATAGTGGCTTAGGTAAGAGAGGCGTATATTGCAGTGAGGTACTCGAGAACACGTGTGTTTGTTCTAGTAAACGGTGACATGCATGTTAGATTATCATAGGCAAGGAGCTCCACAGTGAAGATCTGAGGCTGTTCTGTTCTTCTGTTATTTGAGAAATATACACAACCTGACAGTTCATAGGCTAGTGTGTACACCTCTGGGTCCCACCACCCTTTCCTCAGAGTGGGGCAGGAGCATACTTGTTCAAGTATCAAACTCCATTCAGTCAGTACCATTTCCTCTGGTACCTGCAGATGATCTGCTATATTGCTTTGTCCCACTGTTAAGATGTGACAGATAAAAGTGGCTGTTGTATAGCAGTAGCTGCAGTGAACCACAGTTACTTAAAGGGCTGGTAAATGAGGAAGGGTAGAAAGATGGTGGTTGTAGTGAGCCTGGTGGAAAGAAGGAGGAACAATGTGCCTTTGCAATTCCAAAAGCCTGTATCCAGCTTCTGTTACTCCTGTTGCAGGGTGCTGTGTAGATGATAGGGATGTAAAATAAAACACTATGGAAGAAAACAAAATCCGTATTAATATAGTTCAAGAAAGGAGAACAAGAAAGACATCTATATAGAGATATGGGCTGTACTTAAGATTCTGTACAAATGTAGTCATTTGAAAGGCACTTGTAAGTATTCTGTGCTTGAATTGGATTTCTTTCCAAGAGGACCTCAAGCATGTAATGCACTGTTTCAATTGCACAAGTTTTTAAATCTTGAAGAACAAACCGTGTGTAGTAGTAGTAGTAGTGTCATTGATGACGACTTCACTGTTTAAGGAAGTGAGAAGTGCAGAGTTTATAAAGAGAGGCCTTATTCCTAAGTGGGCTCCAAGTACCTTGTTAGAAAAAAAATCAGTGAAGTTTAAGCTTGTTTAAACTGTTAAATCTGGGACCATGTAGTTGAAGACTCAGGGATTTTCTTCTTGTCATGTGCTTCCTTTTCTCACCATCTAATGCCCTACTACTGCTTTGATGCTAGGATAGTCTTAGGTCTCTTCTTACAAGTGAACATGTGAATTTCTTCTGTCTAATAAGACATATGTAACTTCTAGGCTTTACCCTTTTGTTTTGGCTTATCTTTAGTTGCTGTCTTCGGAACTTCTTAATACTAAACTTGCAGAAAACTTACAGTAAATTATGTTACAATATAAATCTGAAGAGAAATAGGCTTTTGTTTTCAAAGCATGTAAGAAGTATGTGAATTGGTGTCTATATCGTGTGCTTGCCTTTAATGGATTTTTGTATTTCTAGTGCCTTTTTATGATGTTACTTCCTTTTTCTTTATGTAAAGTCTCCAGTGCATTCCTGTAAAGTAGGGCTTCATACTTTAAACTCAGAAAATAGACCACTTCTCTGCCGACAACTTTACCAGTTGCCCTGTTGGACAGACTGCAATTTCTTCAGAACGTACAGTATGATGTTTTTGTAGGGCAGGGGCTGGTTGGTTGCTACATGGTGAGTTACATTCCTTGAACTGAGCCTGAAATCTGATTGTCTTGTTTGTCTTCTTTACAGTGATGAAAAATCTGAATTGTACTCAGTCCAACTGGGAAATAGAGAAGCTGAACAGTGACCTGAAAGTGCATAGTCTGGAACAGGATCTAGAAAAACTCAAGCAAGAGTACAACAGTCTCAGAAAGGAGTTGCAAAAATCCAATCAGAAGGTACCTTTTTTTTTAAGGAATTTTTGTATTAGTAGATTATTTTAAATCTCATGCTCAAGCAAAATAAAGGGAGAAAAAAGGATATATCTGAGTGAAAGGTAAACATCTTAGTAAAATTAACCTTAAATATCCTCATAGGCTGTCTTGTTTCTTGGAAGCAGTAACAGGCTGCCCAGGGAAGTGGTCATGGCACCAGGTCTGTCAGGATTTAGGGAGTGTCTGGACAATGCTCTTAATCATTAGGTTTAGATAGTCCTGCAACGAGCAAGGAGTTGAACTCAATGACCCTTATGGGTCCCTTCCAACTCAAAATACCCTTTAATTCTACATTGGTGAGATTTGCCAGCCATTCCCATGTAACAACAGAAAATAAAGCTTTATGATTTCTTGTAAGCAGCTGTTCACATCAAAGTTATTCTGTGTTAGCATTTGTCTTGGGCTGGACTACTCAGAAAGTCTGGGCAAAACCAGACAACAGAATCGACACCGTGCTTATATTAAAAGATGTCGTGAAGTTTGTTTAAGCAGCTGTAGCACTTATTTTTAGAGTAGTAGCCTGAACCTTGTCAGGAAAGTACCATTTCTGGTGCACTTCCCTGCCTTTTTGAGAGACTCTTTGTGTAATGCAGATGTTATTAGGATCTCAAAAGTAGAATTAAGATAGCTTACCAGTAATAAAATGTATTAAGTTAAAGTCTGCTGCATGCTTACCGCTTCACATCTTACTTTGATGAAAGATGCAGTGACAGTCTTTAGAAGTCTGCAGTCACACTGAAGTTACACAATAAATTTGAAAGATGTAACTGTTACGGTTTGAAGTGGCAGGCTTCAAAAAACATTCCTTTTGGTCGTTATACAATCACGATTTTCTAATCTTGATTCACACAGTGTTTGAGTGAGTCAATTTTCAGGGTATGTAAGACTCACAGATAGAATCCATCATTCGTGGCCATTATCTGCCTGCAAACAGGATTTGTTTTAATTTCAGAATGTTTCTTTGGCACGTTTTCTTTTGGGCACATTTACATTATTACAGAAATGTACTTCTGAATCACTGCTGCCTCCTGTGCCTTGCATCACAGAGTAGTCTAGAATATGGGAACTCTATCACTTTAGGATGAGACTAAGATGCACCTGGGCTTTCAGGGATCCGACTAGACCTAGCCTCAAGTCCTTCTCCCCTGCTTCCCTAGCAGCATATACAGTTGTGTTGTTGGGGTATCAGCACTGGATGCATCTGCACTGATGTGCTGCTGTGAAGCCACTCTCCTAGCTTATGTGGACAGGTTTATGTGCATCGATTGATTGCCTAATGCAAGGTTTATTCTGTGTTTTTTCCACTAGGAGGAGATAAAGCACATTACGAGAAAGGCATGCGAGGTGTTCTGTGAATTTCTATAACAGTTAGGTTTATTTTCATTTGTATCTAGACTTCTTTTAGGTGTTTTCAATAACTTGTAAATTCCGAAGGCATACTATAACTTGTATGCGGTTCTGGGGTCTTCAATAGCTCTATAGACTAGAGTAACAGCTATATAAGTAATCAAAGATTGCTTTGTGGGAGTGAATGTATCTGGAAAGAACAGACTAACATAGCTGTTGTAAGGAATACTAGACTTGATGCTGTTTAAATAATGCTTATGCCAGCAGCTTTTGTTACAAAGAACAAATATAAGGAGTAGCTTCTGCCCCCCAGCCTTTTTTTTTTTTTTTTTTAAATACCATTTCTTTTTGATCCTGGTAACTCTTTAATATAGGAAATAGAAAAGTATATTGTGCCTTTTTTAACTATGAAATTGAATCATGGCTGGTGGTTGAGAAAGGCTTCAGGATGGGGAAAAACTGTCAGGTGCAATACAGGGATATGTGATCCATGGGAATGACAAGTCAGCATTGTTTCAAACCCAGCTCATATTTTCATTACTACTGGCTTTAATTGCATCAGTTAGCATTTTCAGATATTTTCTACCTTAGGCAAGTATATTTCCTGTTGTTAAATATTCAGGTTTTGCGTTAACAGTTGATGCAGTGTGTATATTGTATTGACAAGTTGCTTGAAATGCATATAGGCTATCATGAAATCACAGTAAGAAGTGACATAACAGCTTTGGCTGAATGGAACAAGTAACAGGAAGGGAGAATGAAAAGGGATATGAATGGGAAGTTATCACAGGTGAGGGTCTACAGAAACATGACTAACAAAGCGAGCCCAATATTTGATCTATTAAACTGTCCTGTTAACTTCAGTGAGGCTGCTTGTATGCACCATTTTAAAGCAGCTTTTCAGACTCAAGGGATAAATTATGTTGTGTCATAAAAGTAACTTGTAGAAGCAAATCTATACTGAAACAGTTTGGTTTAATTTAATGATTAAATTAATGGACAGGGAAAGAACAAGAAAAGATTGATCACTCTCTTTTTTTTAATAGAAGTCAAAAGCCTTTCTCAGTTCTTGCTCTTCAAAGAATTACAAATTCCAAGAGCTCAGCTGTTTAAAAAGTAGAGTGAATATGGTTGAGTATGGTGAGTACAGTGGCTGTGCAACACTTCTATTTAAGTAGGTAGTTTTAAGCATTTTTAAGCTGAATTCTTAGTAGAAGTCTTGATGTCTGTTTTGAAAACCACTGCAATGAAGTCTACTTTGAATTTCAGTATCAGCAAACTTGTTGTTTCACTGCAGTGTTTGCTAATAGAAGATCTAAAATCATATATTCATTCTGTCTCTGTCTTCCCCGCACTCTGTTATACAGGACCAGGCCCAAAGTGAAAGTCCATTAAATGGAGACATCCTTCGAAGGCAAGACATCCAAAGGTATGAAAATCAAGTGGCTTTCATGTTTTAGTTTACTGAGGGACAGTTATTTGAATAGATAAATATTCTTGCAGCCTGTTCAAATGTGTTACTTCAAATTACATAATGTAATGTCAAGTCTAGGCATACTGATTTAGCAAGATCACTGTAAATTTCTTATGTTCGGCTGATGATGATGATGATAAGAAAACATTTACAACTTCAGCTTGTACAGAAATGAAAGTTAAATTATCTTGGATTTAAACCCCAGCCTTTTAATAACTAGTTGCCTTGAGGAGGTGGTACATAAGCTTCCAAGTCTCATCCCAGCTGTAAAATATCTTCATTCTGCATATGGGGCGGTTTCTGTGTTTGTGTAGGTGATGGCTTCAAATCTTACTCAGGAGTTGGAAAGTACAGTCTTAACTTAGTGCAGTGCAATATTTCTACTACAAGACATATATTGAGCAGCTATTATGTGGTCTATGCAAAAAGAAATAGCAATTTCCAGAAAAATTCTAAAATACTAGAAAGCATTTGTTCTCATTTTGCAGTCATTCAAGTAATAATTGTGCTTAAGATATGAACTCCTGTATTATCTTTTCTTGAGTATGTGTGCCGTATTAAAAGTAGGTATACCCTTTTTTTTGGATGCAAAAGAACAATTCCTGGATGCACAAAAGTTCCCAGATATTCTGTCCTGCAGAAATTAAATACTGACTGCATGTCCTACACCCAGCTATGCCTGTTTGTGTACTTACACGAGTTTCCACAAGAGGGAAGAGTAGTCCTTCATAATGACAGATTGTTCAGCGCAATACCGTGTTGCTTACTTAGGTATTGGATTGGAAAGGAAATAAGTCGCTGACAAGAGAACAGTAGAGATATTTCTTTACATATGTTTTCTGGTGTAATGATGATAATATTGTATCCACTATAGCCAAATTACACTTTCACATTTCACCTTGAGTGGATAGCGAGCTCGCAAACGCGGTTTCTGCTGCAGCTTCATAGACAGTCTTACACGCCTAGAAAAAGGTGTTACCTCAAAGTATAGAAATTACCTCTTTGATCTTCCAGAGCAGATTTATTCCACAAAGTGACATTCAGGTGGCAACCATCTGAATTAGCATACGTACAGTATGCTTATTGTAATAAGACATAAATAGTGATTGTCTAATGTGTACTGAACGTGTAAGCACATCCAAAATCTGTGGGAAAATACTTGAAAAAGTTCCTATGCAAGACATTTCCTGCTGTTCGTGGGACATGGAGGCATTTGCAGTTAGTTAACTTTCAAAGATTTCACATTTGTTAGCAGCCTGCAAATCTGACTTTACATTCTTGGTTTGCAAATCTACTTTGCCATAGATGGGCTGTTATATTCCAGGTTTATACTGTATGTTAGAAGGCAGTACAGGATACACTTCCAGGCATGTGGAATCTTTGGTTTTCAGTTGCAAATTCCTGGAAAATTAGGCTTTGCAATGGCGTTCTACATCAGTGTCCATAAAACCAATTAAAATGGTATGTGTGATTTAAGTGGAATTCTGGTACCTGCATCCCTTCGCAAGATGCCTTTAAAAGCATTAAAGACACGTTACAAAACTTAACTAGCACTTTCCTTCTGGTTGGTGGCAGATGCTGAGCTGTGCTTCCATTTAACGCTTCTGTATTAAATATCAGACTGGTTTTGATGTAACTGAAGTTTGTTTGATCTTATTTTGGAGACCAAACCACATGAATAAATGAAGCAGGATAGCCACATCAACTTAATTGAAACATTGTCTCATGTATTCTGTTGTAAAAAAGCCACAGGTTTAGCTGAACTTCTGGAAGTATCAGTTCTGAAAATTTTAACTTTGTCTATCAGAATTGCTGATTCCTGTCAGTTTCCTCTGTTCTTTAACAGAGCTCTTGAATCTGAGTGTTTGCATTCCGGGGAAGTACATCAGTGCATAGAAGAAAGTTTAATTTCTTCGGTTTAAGAGAACTCGTCTAGTGTTTACTTGCAGAAAAGAATCATAGCTGTTTCTCAGACTGCTTTTGAACACATCCGGGTCTGATCAATCTCATGCAGGAGTGATCCTAGATTGCTATTTTAGAGGGACAGAAATCTGTATATATGCATGTTTGAAAATAAAGTTGATATATGGCCTGAAATAGTTCTTAAGTCATCTCAACACGAGCTTGAGATCGTGAACTGTTTTCAAATAAATGTCTTTTAGGTGACTATAGTGAGGAAGAAAGAAATACTCTGAAAGCTCTCACTCATGATACTTGTCCTCAATAAAGGTGTTTTGATAGAATGTTAAGCATTAAAAAAAAAATCATTCATTTCATGTTTAAGTAACTGCATCCTTATGTCTTTGAACACTAAGTTAATTATTAGTCAAAATAAATGTGGTGTTTGGTGAGCCTTTGCTTGAAGTTTTACCAAGAAGCATATGGTGATGGCTCTTTGATTATTTATTTATTTTTTGTTTCATTCATGATTTCTTTTTACCAGCTATTAATCTGAAACTTCAGTGTTGGAATAGTGCTGCTAAATATGTTTCTCACATTATGGTGCTTATCGGAGAATGAATTGGGTCCTTATTTTTCATACTGTCTGCCAGGGCAGTGTATTAATATAAATTAGAGGACTCGAATCTGAAACAGATGTTCTGTATTTTAGTTTGGTCTGTGTATGGGTGCTCAGTTTGGATCTTGGGTATCTTGTCTGAATTCACTGAACAAAGTGAGTGGTGTAAAGTCCCAAATAATGATTTTGATTCAATACTTACAACTGTGATCAATTAACATTCCTAGGAACATATGATGGCATGTGCAGTCATTTATCAGAAGCCATTCAGAGTTAGTACTCTGCCTTGGTTGTAGGCTAGTGTCCATTTAAATGTATTTTTTTTAAAGTGTTCCTTTGAGATTAATTATCGTCTGATAAACTAGTAGCTTCCAATAGTGCAGTTGGCAAATCTGCATCATATTTGGGAACTGGAAATTATGATTACAATCTAGTATGTTAATACATTATATACTGTAATATGCAACAGTCATCCCTCCATTTATGATGATCATCAGTACTGCTCAGTTAACTTTGAATTATGGTACTCTAGCAAAATCTGTAGTGTATGTCTGGCAAAATCATTAACAGCTAATGCTGGATAAGCATTATTAACATGCTGTTAATAGGCATGAGGGCATTTTAGAGGTGGCAGTTACTTAACTTCTTACAAATGTTTGTTTTGAAAGCTTGCAACAAGCATATTGGGAACTGAAGAGAGAAATGTCCAATTTGCGCCTAGTGGCTGATGTGCAAGCTGAGGTCCTACGAACACTGAAAACAAACCCAGCAGCGACCAAGAAAGGCAAGTCAGTGTTTGCAGTCACAGACCTTACAGAGCATTGATTCAGGCTGTACCATTTTGAAAAGAAACCAGCTATCATATCTTATCAGACTCTGATCAATTGAAGTTGATAAGCTAGACTGTATTATAGTTCCAGCCTACCCATTTTCTGCTTTTGCTTCTGTCTCATACTGGTCAGCTTCACACATAAAGGTGTTGCTGATGTGTTTTTTCTTCAGTACTGTATTCTGTTCCCCTTGTGGCTTTTTTCTCAGTCAAGTGTTGCTTATGTGCACAAGGCTGAGGTGTTAAGTTTACTTGTATTTGACCTTTTACCGCAACTACTTCATATTAAGGTGGAAAAAATCTTTTTGCAGTCTTATTTTCCTAGTATAGTATATATAAAGTATTAATTTTAAAACCAGGCTTTAATAGACTGAAATTCCCTTATGGTTGGCCATTTATTTATGTTGGTGTTCACAAAAGCTCCCTTTTCTAGCAAAATGCTATGAAAAATGACATTTTCTAGTGTCAAAATACTGAGGCTACAAACCTGCCTTATTTCTGCTGCTACGTTGCAAATAATTAAGGGGAAAATAATTTCCACATAAAGTATGTATAATCACTGTAAGCAGCTCATCAGATGGTTCTTCTGTTTCATGCCTATGTTTCTCTCAAGCCAAATACTTTATGAGAGAGTGTTCTTACTATGGTGTGGCCAGACTCTCAGTCTCGCTGTTTATTGCAGTGTTTGTTTCCTTTGTTTTATGCTCACTGCAGAAAGATGGTGAACTTGGTTACAGTATGTTACTGACAGTCTCCGATGCCCCTGTCCATTGCAAGATCAAGACATTTTGTTTCTAACCAGCTTTGACTAGGTGAGGTAATGATGGGATTCACCTCCAGGTGAATCACTGCCTTTGTGGCCAGCAGTGACTCATGATCACTCCCTGGTACTTGGCTGATAAACTATCAGCACATTTTATAGACTCGTATTGTCCCCAGGTGAGTGTGTGTCCCTGCAGTTCCAAGACACATTTGTCAAATAACTTCAGCAGAGAAACTGGGAACTGGATGAGGTTTTAATCCTTAAGCCTGTCAAGGTTTGATGTGATCATACAATGTCTTTCTGTCTTTATTTTTAATTGGGAGTTGTCTGTCTTGCTACTGCCAAGTACTGATTTCTCTCTTGTCCTGCTTGGTCAACAGTCTGATTTTCTGCAGTTGTTAATGCAGTTACGTCCACAGTTATAAAAGGCATTATTGATCAATTGGGAAACAGCAGAGTTTGGCTTTTTGCTCTGTAGGCTTTCTTTGTGATTTTTCACAAGTATGTAAGAGTGGGCAGGTCTGGCACAAATGAAAACAGGATTTAGTTTTTCTGTTTACCTTGCTCATCAGCCACACTTAATGAATGCAGTGCAGACATATCTGTGCCTATAGAAAAATCTTGGCTTATGCAAAATATGGGTAGAATTAAGTCCACTTCCTGTATCTGTGGTACTATCTATTTTACCATACACAAATAGTTGCTACTGTTAGAGGTGCATTAAGTCTGCAGAGCAAATGTATGAATTGCTGTGTGTGTGATGTTAACAGTACAATTAACATGCAGATTCTGCTTAGCTGTCATTTATGTATGGAGGCATTTTCAACAAATGTACCTCTGCCATTTCTTACATTTTCAATCCATTTTCAGTGAATTTCATTTTTCTTGAACTTCTAAAGAAAGGGTTGTGCTTTAAGTAGTTACTGAATACGGTCTGAAAATATATAGCTTGAAAACCCTGACATCTCTGCTGTACTGCAGCACATTTGGAGAGGATGAAAAATGCATTAGATAATGTCATTTTAAAATACTATTTTATCTTTTTCTGTTCAGCTGCCTCTACTGCACCAGTGCAATGTGTTGACTTGAACATTTCAAAGCTGAATTTGACATCTGGGGTGGTCTGTAAAAAACTCTTCCTGAATGATCAAGTACTCTGCAATGCTGTATCTCCCCCTCTGCCAAGAGATGGACAAATCCCACCTGAAAAGGTGATTCTACAAGCATGGACAGATGAGAGCCCCATTCCAATGGATGGCAAGACGTTTCAGGAACACCATTCGTATGGAAAAAGCTCTCTGGAAGATAATTCCTGGGTATTCCCAAGTCCTCCAAAGCCTAATGAGAATGTGTTTTGGGAAATGAAAAATAGATCAACTTTGCTAAACTGTCCAGCAAATTACCTTGATCAGTGTAATCAAAACTGTCTGCACAAGAGTTAAAGAAGTTTTAGAATGAACCAAGGCATTTTTAGAATGGTTGTGAATAGGCACCTTAACACTTGAACTTTTAAAGGGGGGAAACAAACTGCCTGAAATGGTGTTTATTTTTAGTTCTAGTTCTGAAACAGAAAGCCTTGTCTTCCTCTGCTGTAAATCAGGAACAAGTTCCTTGAAGTTAAAGCTGTGCTGGCATAATGTAAATAGAAAGAGAATGAGCGTGGGGCTTGGATAATCTTGTACTGCAAATGACACATATTTGCAAAAGATGACGCTGAGAAGTGAGTTCTTGGAATAAAACAGAATAATCTAGTTCTGTACTTGTTTGCTATTTGTATGTCACCAAGAAAATATCTGGTATCCTGTGTTAATCTTGTGGCAGCTCTGAGCTGATTTTTTGACAGTGGTTTTATTTTCCAGAGTAAGATATGAGAATTGGATTTTCTCTCCCTCCTTCCTTTCAGTTCACTTCCTGTTTTCTCTGGTTTAGAAATGCATTTTTGTGTAATTTTTAACCAAGAAAGGTGAGATTTTCTTCTTCACATCTTGATTTTATATCAGTGACAAGATTAAAACCACTCCTAGGCTGTTCTGTTTAGACTGTACCATTTGGGGCTTTATTGTGAATTACAAAGGATTGTAGGTAGCACTGCTGCACACTGACTCCTGCTTTTCATCCCATGTCCCTTCATTTGGGCTGTAGGAATTCTGCACACCAGGTGCCTGCCACAGAACCACCTTGTTCGTGGTGCAGTCATCCTTATTGTGCCTCCTTTACACAGCGCCAGAACCAGGACTTTGTGTGGTGGTGAAGGCTACTAACTTGTTTTTTATTAAAGAAACAAAGCCTTAATTTAAGTAGGTGTTGCAGTGTTGTTCAAATACACAGTAAGTATCTTTGTGGTATCATCTTTAGTATGCCACTGAGAACTAGAGTTACATGAATTGAAACTGCCTACTTAGACATTATGGGTGTCTAAATACTGATGTTCTTTTTCTCCTCCTGAGGCCAAGAGCTATTGTTAGGCAAATAGAATTTATGCCTTTTTTTAAAAAAGAAACCTGTTCTGCTTCATATCTGGCTTATTACAGCATGGTGAAGTGAAATGTCCTGACCGCTCAATGCGTTTGTATTAGATCCATGATGCTGAGCTTGTACTGGGCGGGAAGATACTTCATACTTAGTGTGTTATTTACAGATGTGTGGTTGGCTGGGTGAAGTATTCAACGCACAGGTCCAGCTTAAGATCAGTGTAATAAAAATTAATGTCACAGCTATTTAGTAGCAAATTATCTTTAAATTGCCTGCAGATGCACAGGTAAGCTACGACTGCAGCACAGCCATAGTAATGATGGGCTGTAAAAGTGTCACTGAGGTGCTACATGGCCTGTGTGGTTCCAGATGCTTTCTTCCCTGTGAACAAAGTACTTCATATGAAGCCCATCATCTTCTCTTTCAGTTTGTCTCTCAAAGGTGAAAAAATGCCTTCTAGGTACCTTCTACTATATTAGTGTGCAGCATACATAAATCATGTTTCTCATTCACCAGATATTGTTTTTATCTTTCTGTTATCTTGCTCACGTCTACTGGCTTGTCTGTGATTAATGGAAATGGTGTCATGCTGGAATTTATTCTGACCAATGAACACAGCTGACTCAGGGGAGTACAATCTCTTGGAAAGCAATAGAACAAAACCCAATATGCATAAAACAAATCCAAGTCACTAGGCTTCACCTGATAGAACCAACTACCTGTGTAATAACAAAGCAGCAGAAACCATTTCTTATGTGGCTGCATAAAGCTCTAAGGTATCTAGTTCTCATGTAGCTTACTTTTGGGGTTCCCCACCTCAACATTACAGAGGAGTTTTATTATGTATTATCCAACAGCCATCAACATGATTAATTAATACTTAGATTTGTGCAATGAAGGAATTCTACTGTGTAAGATTTGAAATAAATTTATTTTTGTTTGAAATTGGTTTCACTACAAGTCTCCTTTCCATACCTGACCCAAAAGTTTTTACTCAGTTTCTTGATTGTGTATAAATGTAATTCCAAATACAAGCAATTACAGTTGAGGTTCATCCTCTTCCATTCAGGAAAAAAAATAACCAAACATCCCCTGTAGACTGCTTCAATCTATTCTGGGAAAAGCTGGATATTGGAAGTTGAAGGATTTCAGTTACCTTAAGCTACAGCGTGTGCCTCTGGTTTGACTACTTGTGTCTAAAGTCTCCTGGTCAGCCTGTGTGATAAGGAAACTTAATTTTAAGCTTCTGTGTGCAGTGTCTGAGAATTTGTTTTGCCTTTGACTCGGTTTATCTTCTGTGCTGCTTCCTGTGATGGAGGAGGGAGCAGCAATGTTTGCTGAGAAGGGACTTCAGAAGTGCTGCTGCTGGAGCGAGGAGCGCAGGCTGATGGTGAGCTTGGTGTAGGCAGCATTTCCAATCCAATCACTCATTGCTGTAGCCAAGCTGTAACAATTGAAAAGGAAGTCCCCAGGTTTGAGGTCACTTGGGAGCTAGCTGGCTGCTGAAGCATCTGTTGGGCTGAAGCATACAATCAAATTCTGACTCAGGATGGAAAAGTCATTAAAACCCAAGCCACTAGTGGCTTACACGGCTCTTTTCATTTTCAGAAGTGAAATCTTTTCATCACAATGACAGCAGATTACATGCAGAAGTAGCTGTAGTAAAGGAGTTCTGGTGGTTTGTGCGCACACGTGCATTTGTTATGTAAACCCATGAAATTACATAAAGGACAGACCAAACTCAAATACATTAAATGATGCCCACAATCCATTAACTTGAATGCAAAACAGTTTAAAACTTCTCCCTGCACTGATCTGACAATTCTTAATTTAAGAAAGCACCACCAGTTAAATTCCATTTAACAGAAACCCAATACAACTTTGGGGGCAAGAGGGAATTGTTGCTTTACATGTTTAAGTGAGCATACAGTGAGCTGACGAATACGTATTTGGTGAGCTGGACTAACCCAATGACTTGTATGTAAACTTCCACTGTTCGATTCATTTAAAATGTTTTAAAAAATCTCATCATTTTCAGTGTCCCTGCTGGTTTTGCAGGTTTACAACTGATGAGTTTCTGTGAACTAAGAGTACTGAAAAAAAGCAAACTCCAAAATTAGCTGTGATGCGCCGTCAAATTTTTACAGCTGGAAAAAGAGGAAAGCAGTGTGATACACACAGTTGGAGTTAAGTTACAGTAAGACAACACCAAGTGATGTAACAAAGGTCCACATCAGTACAATATGAACTACACTAGTGATGTGAAGCAGATTAATGTTATTTCCAAGTCAGCTTGCAGCAGACTTTGAGACTCCTGTGCTCAGACGTGAGTGTTAGTACTGATGCTATGACCTAGTGAAGGAAGAGTGAAAAGACTCACCTGCATTCTCTTCTGATCTTCAGCCCAGCTCTGGGAAGAACACTGGGCGCAGAGTGGTAAGATGTTTCCCTCTCGCTTTGTGTAGTTTGGATACAAAAGGCATGTGTGGTTTGGGTTTCTTTGGTTGTTTTCTGGTATTGTTGAGGTTATTTTTTAGGGGTTGGGCTTTTGCCCCTTTCTTTAGGTGGAGCAGTGAGCTACTTGCAATTGTATCAACATAGGACAGTGGAAAAAAATATTCTATTACTGGCACTAAAGCTAAACCCTAACTTCAGCTGAGTTGCATTTGAACCAGTTAAAAATCTGCTGTGGTAAATGTGATGTGAACTAAGGTCAGTGTCCATCACAATTCCTTTCATTATGTCTTAAGCTGGAAGAGACAATGTGGTTCAAGCATCAAGATACAGTAATAAAGTGGGAAAATGCAAGTGTTCATGTATACATGTTTGATACAGGGGAGAAGTATGAAAGAAATAACCAGACATTGTTACTGACTTTTAACTAGATGGAACGCCTATTTTTCAACTGTATTTGACCATTTTTGGACCAGCAAAGTAAACAGACATCACAGGAATTACTTGAGGGGGAGTATGGCTGTACTAAATACGAGGCAGAGGGGGTTTCTAGCTGACATTAATCGTCTGTGGTATCTCAGACCGCAGCTGTAGGGAGTACCACGCCGCTTTGAAACCCCTGTGCATTACAAATTGCCACTCATTTTTCCTCTTGAGTTTTCATTTGGGCAAACCTTTTAAATAAGTATATGGCACCTTTTTCCTCCTGCCTTTTAGGTCTTGCATTTGTAGGGGGCCTGTCTCAGGAGTTTGAAGAGAGCTTTAATATGCTGGAAGAGTCCAGAAGTGAAATCCATGGGTGTCTGGGGTGCTTGCCCAGTTCTCCGAAGCGCTACAAAGGTGCTCCTGTGCTGCACAATCTGAGACACACACCCTGCAAGACTGCTGGGAGTCAAATCACTGTTACAGTTGTAAGACCTTACTACTGATGTTTCTTACATTGACTAGAATCTAGGGCTGGTTCCTGTTAACCCCAGTAGCAAGGAGAGGTTGCAGCCAGGACAAAAACAAAACTGAAAGCAATTTACTAGTATGAGTTTGTCATCTCACAGTACTCATTCTTTCATTTGAACTTTAAATAGAAGATGTAAATGCAATTAAAATACAGGATATGGCACAAGACATTAAGGAAGTGAAAGGTGTGAAGTGAGGAATTTGACACTAGGAAACATTGCATTAAGGCCATGAGTTTGTTACAGAGAAGCTGATCCCAGAGCCAGGAGCGAAGTCCAGCTCTGTGTGTGCCACGGTACACACAGGAGAAGCTGCAATAACCCAGTTCTTCCTTACACAGTGTAGGTAAAGAGAAACAAAGGGCTGACACCATAATTCAGCACATGCAACTTCAGAGCTTATCAGTGCTGATAATATATATAATAAAAAGTTTTAGAGACTATTTCTAGTGAATCCATTTATGCATTTGAGAGTTCTACAATTCAGCAGCTTCAAGTACCAGTATAAAGAAGATCCTTTGTTATGCAAGTCCCTATTTGTAGGGATTTTTAAGTCCCTATTTAGTTTCTGCAAGAAGCAACCTGCATCTTACACACTTGGGTTAGTTGCTTACTCACCTTTACCCATAATAATTTTGCAAATGTGGTCACTTGCCCACTCCTGAAGCGTGGAAGCTTAAACAATCCATCTTCATTGTGAAATAGGAAAGCAGGGGAAGATGCTGCTCTTGGTGATTTGCCTTCTCCCTTCCTGGGGAAGGTTTAGGTCAGGAAGACTTTTCCCTCTAGTGTCACAACAGTCATTCTGGGCTGCACATAGGCACAGGACAGGCAGCTCTTCTGACACAGTGGTCTTAAAAATGAGTCACAGTGTAGGCAAAAGTGCTGTCAGGTTCTTGTATGGTTCACAATTTTCATGAAAAAGATGAATCAAACTGGTACAAGAGGCTTTTCTGCATTTGCCACCTTTCTCTTCTAGTAAGAGCATTCTCATACACCCTCAGTTTCACATGACAAACAGACCAATTTTAATGCATACCCAATTAGTGATCAGTTAATACAACTTCAGTTATTCACCCTGAGGTTTTGCTGTAGCATAGCTGGCCACACAGAACTAAACACAGGCTTCAAATTCCCAACAGCCATTTGTAAACGAGTAACAACGCCTCGAGTCCAGGCAGATGAACAGAGTGCTGCAAGTTCCCTGCAAGCTGTGACAGCTTGCCTTAAGGATTTCATTACAGGGAATTAAAATATTGACTTTTAAGCTCAAAGATCACTTTATTCTCCATTCATCTCATTTTGTGTATTTCAGTTAAATTCCACACAGAGGGTACAGATGACCTAAGTCCCTTTTAAATCAAAGTTGGATCTAAAATTTGAAAAGTTAATTTTTTAGTTTTAACTACACATTTGAAGTGACCTTCTGCCTTTTTTTCTTAATTCCAGTTGCTCTGTATTCTTCTCTCTGCTTCAAATACTCTGTTTTGCATTCTTCATAGAATAATGGATCAGAATAGCTACAAGACAAATACATAATGCTGGTTTTCATCTTGGAATATGGAACAGATACTGTATGAATAACATTCGGAACTGATCTTCCTCTCACACCCAAAGGAAACTGGCCTAACTGCAGTGATAAAATACCGCACCTAGGCGTTAAGGTTACCTTTGTAAACTCTAAATACTGAGATACTGCATTCTCTCTCACGACATCATAATCCTTTTTAAGCCTCTACAGTGAAGCCATGAAGAGGAAAGGTAGAAAAAGGGGAAGACAGTTGGCATTTCAGTTCAGGGAAGTAATGTATTACTTGCATTTACCTTCTGCAGCACATCAGTCTGCTGCAGAACACTGACATTTGTCATGCACCTGAGCAACTACTGGGAACAGGTTCAAGTGTATATCTTGAACAGCATGTAGCTGTTTGTAGCTCCTTGACCATTAAACTCGATTCATTTTTTTCTCACAGCTTTGTTTTCAAGTAGAGTTATCCAAGCAGTAAGCATTTTTTTTCAATGGTATTTTGGTTGGGTGCTGTTGTTTCGGATATTAAAACCGAATTAATTCTTAAGTTCTCACTGCAGTCAGGCCTGAACTCTTGCCTAGCTGCCTGAGTTTCTTCATCAGTTCCCAAACACTTGAGGATACCTGTCAGTAGTTCAAAGCCATTTAATCTTAACCTCTGGTTTAACAGGGCAGGACACACATTCCACCAAACCCCAAACCAAGACCTTTCTTTCCCCCCACCCTCTCCCTGGGAAATTCAAGGATCCCACATGCCAGCCTCCCCAGCACTGGGGATAAATTAGGACTCTGGAAAGAGACGTTTCAATCCATCACATCATCAAGTTGCCCTCTTTAGTATGTAACAATTTCCCCGCTGCTGCTGCAAGTGCTGTTCACAACAGCAGGGCATTTTCAGGACAGTGACTAAACTGAACTGTTCAAGAAGCAAAATCCAAACAAACTTATCCCACACAGGTAACACAGCACAGTCAGCACAGTGCTGTGTGTCATCTGGGCTGAGAATCTGTGTCTGTCAGCATTTAAATCAAGGAAATCCATACCCATCACCATTTAAATCAAGAGGATGCTTTATAGCCATAGGGCAGCTTTATTAAGGCAATGCAACTCTGTCAGTTAGGGCCCTGACCTTCACAGTTTATAATGAAGCAAAGATACAGTCTTCAGAAAATACACTGAAGTCACTAATCCCACATAACCCTTCAGAGAAGACTTAAGATTTCTACTCATTTCTAGATCAGTATAGGCCAGGCAGCAACAACAAAAGAGAACAAAACCTCATGAGGTACTTACTAGCCAACCAGACAGTCTTTCAGTGCCGTGTTCTCCCGCCGACACTTCACCACCATCAGAAAACCAGTTTCTTGACAGCACTTAGTAAATGCTAGGGAAAGAAAAGAAAAACAAAACCCACCAAGTTAGGAAATGACACTGGTAAAGAACTCCACCTGCGTGTGTACTCTCCCATATAAAAATCCACCTTCTTGTATCCTGAACGCTACTCCTAAAACACTAAGGAGGAAGTGATCCACACACTTCCTCGCACTAAGGAGGAAGCTTCACACAACCCCTAGGGGAGGGTCACCTGCTTGTCCTTGGCTGTATTGGGATTTTGCTAAAACAGTTTACAACTGGAAGTATCATTTGCTAAAAGTGCTGATGACAGTTTTAAGTGTCCTGCAGTCAAAGTTACATATTTGCAAAACTCTGCAAAGAACTGATGTCTTACCTACCTCAAACATTACTTAGGAACACTTAAAACGTGCTTCAACACAGCACGTCACCTAACACCACTGTGTGCTACCTGAAAATGTACAACTGAAGTATGCAAAAAATGGGTTTAAATTAACCAGCTGATTACCAGTTGGGAAGACACTGTGACCTATGCTCAAAGGTATGCATTAACAACCCCACTTAGTTTCCAGGATTTTGTTTGGTATGTGTTTTAGCTTTAGACCTCAAGTCATCCAAATCCACATGCACGCTTTGAGGATATTTCTGGCTACCCGAAGTTTACTCTGAACAATACAAGAAATGTGTTATCAGGTTATCAAAATGTTTCTTTGGCTTTTAAAGGTGAATCTGACATTTCTTCTGTTCTTTCCTGGACTGTTGACATTGAATGTCCCTACATCAGCATCTTTAAAAAAAAAAAAAAATCATACCTCTGATCACATTTCTCAAAATGTCCTTCGTTTTCCCTGGGGAAAACCTCAGAAGCCTTTAAACGCTCATGGTTTGCATAGTGACCAGTTTGATTTCTGTTCTCTACAGGCACTTGTTTAAGTGCTGTGCTGGTTTGTACTAATCATCCCTTCAGGATGCTGTGAAGTCAGAAACGCCAGCAGGAGGTCCCTCTCACTCGTTAGCTCACCAGTCTGACTGGCTGAAGGCGCGATTTCCCGAGAACAAAACCCGAACTGCAATTGCAAACATCCCATGGCTTCAGGAGGCCCTGCTTGCAGTATGTGGCCAAGCACTGCCCTGAAGTGATAAAACTGCTTCCAGCTCTCTAGCTTTAACCTTACTGACACTTAACAACAGAGAGGAAGAATAGGAGCAGGTTAAAGGATACTAGGCATCCTCATATGAGCACACAAAACCTGATTATCCTGCTCTCCTCTCTTCCAGCACTTTAAAATCTCTCTGGCAGTTATGTAAGGAGTGGGGTATAAAACAGGTTTAGTTATAAATGTTTACCATAAACATTCTGGAGAATGCTGGTTTGTTTTTAATTAGGTTCTGTCTTGCCTCACAACCCTTTCATGAAAAACATCTCACTGCTAAGCAGCACAAAGAGTGTTAGAACTACTGGTTTGGAGAACAATCTCACAAAAAGTGCACAATAGTTCCAGATACAATCTCAAACCAAGAATTAATCTCCATCTCTGTAATCTTTACAATCACCACTCATTTCTCACTCAAGCAGTACCTGCACAAAGCTTTAGGGTACACAGCAAGACACCACAAACAGAGCAGATACAGAGGATATGATACAACCCCACTGTAGTTTAACACTTCAGCAGCTCTGAGCAGTGGTTGGAACACTCAGGAACCCTCAAACACTCAAACCGACCTCCTTCATGATACACCACAACATGATACAGAGAGTAGCTGCTCTTTCAGGGCACAATGCATCTTCTAGAAATCTTCTACATCCTCTAATCTTTAGCAAATGGCTTTCCATGACTATACAAGACCATGTCTGCTTTCTCCTTGCAAGCAGCAAGCTACTGAAACAAAACCTTAGGCATCAGTGAAATCAGACATAAATTTAGGCCAGTCTGCAAACTCACTGCAGAAAGAAATGTTTCAAACAAACGATCAAAGTTATCCCCACTATTTACAAATAAAAGCTGAATAAAAGGAGAGACAGAGCTCAACACAAGCGAAAACGCCTTGTCAGAAAGGGAAAAAAAAAAAGCTCATCCTTCACAAAATGAACCCTGATGAGGCTTTGCCAGGACAGCCACATATGTCCATCACTGAGTGCTCTGTGCACAGATAGGGCCAGATCCAGTACTGCGTCAGCAAGCTGCAGGTGCCTACCAGTTACCACGGAAACTGGCCACGGACCCCTCTCTCGTGACATCCTATCTGACACAGGTTAGCCCCACAGGCTCCTCGCCACACCACAGGCTGTGTTTAAGGGGATGCACACTGAGCAAAGGGCTCTTCTCAAGGCTGCAGCTCAGAAATAGTTCACTGACCAGTTCATTGCTGATTCGAGGCCAGGTTTCATCTTATTCCTCTCTCTCTCTCTCAAAGCTTTGTGCGTCTGCTGCAAGGCAAATCCCAAAGTTTTGGGCACAGTTGCTGACCATTTTAAGTCTCCTTATTTTCACAGCATTACAGCCACACAGAGAGATTCTACCTGCTGAAGCAAGCTAGCTATTTAGTACCTTCTCTAAATCAAGCAAGTACGTATGGCCAGACAGTATCTTTGCCAAGACCAAGGTCTGTTTTCAACTGAACAGAAGCTGAACAACCGTATTTGAACACAGAGCAGTTCAGCTTTGCCAGTTTTCACATAATATGTAAGTGATTTTTCTACGGAGGGAAGACCACTTTGCTCCTATGATTTTCAGGGACAGTGACAGCTTTGTGGCTGAGGTCAGTGACAAGTGACCCCTCCACGGACTGACTCTTCAGCAGGGAGCACCTCAGGCCCTGAGCAGCTCTGGGACTTTGGTCCTTGGCACCTCTAGATCCCCAATGGCCCAGGATGCAAAACCTGTATTTCACTGGGTCTCTCCATCTCAACTTACGTCCTTGAGAAAGCAGGACATGGAGAACATGGAGAAACTCAGCTGCTTTTATAGATCCTGGCACATGCAGGGTCACAGAGCCTTTAAAAGGGAAGAAAGAGCTTTTAAAAGCCTTCTAAAATTATTTCTGACACTGTCTGGAAATGCATCATTATTTTTTATAAAAATCCTATTCAGAGATTTTGTATAATTTTGTTCAGATACAGAATTACAGAAATCATGTTGGAGGTATCAAGAATTATTTTTGAATGTCAGATTATTAATTAGTATGTTTGATGGTTGATTAAGAATTGCTTTAAGTTACAGAGTATTCTCTTATTAGAGCTTCTTTGATAATTAGCTAGAAGGTTGACACAGTAAAGAACTGTTCACCAAGATCTTTACATAAATCTCTGCTGAAATATAATCAATATCTAAGAAGGATGTTTTTCTTTAGGGTTTTTAATAGCCTTTTCCCTCAACTCTGTTTTATGACTTTACTACAGGACAATATGGGAAGCAGATGGAAACTGAAGTGAAACTGGGCAGCAGTTCATTTATCTCAGAATGAAGACTCGACAGTTGATTTCCCCTGCCTATGCAAGCAGTCAGAGAGACGTGCAGTAATCAGCACACTGAAGTGTTGATTATCAATTTTTACAAGATCAAATACATTACTAGAAAGTTAGTTACAGCAAAGTTGCATGGTATGGAGGGTGTCCACCAACAGATGACCTGGTACATAACACTTCTTAATTTAAAGACAAGAATATAAAAAGCCACGGTACTACTCGTTTTCATCTCAGAACATAGTCAGAGGTTTGAGAAGTATTTGTTCTTATATGATGAAAATAAAAACTTGTAGGGCTTTGACTCAAAGGGACAAACCAACATCTGGCATAACACAGAGCCACATCTCTGCTGCATAAAGATAATGATTTTCTTCCAAGCCACTAAAGAAGACAAGGTTAAATTTAACACTCCTAACCTCAGTATCTGAAACCTACAAACAGTGGACAACAAAACCAAGGCACCATATTTAAAACACTACACAGCCTACAACCTCCCTCCACCCCAAGCAGAGGTAGGTTGGTCTCAGATTGTGTTTGTAGGGGATTTTTAAAACTAATCTTTAAATACTTAAAAGATACTTCACTATCTCTTTCTGCAAACACAAAGGTCTCTCCTTGTGCAAAGCAAGAGAAGAACGAAAGTGTTTGGTACTGACAACCAGCTGCACAGGAACTGTGTTGATAGAACAGTGCCAAGGGGTCCTTGTTATTCTTTTCAGTGTATGAACTGTAGGCAGTACAAAGACTATTTCTGAAGTTCATTTTTTACAGGTTCAGATTACAACAATACTTGGCAGTTTCATACTGATTCCTGTCACAAAGTGCTGTGCAATTATAATATTAGAACTGTAGCTTTACCAATCATAACTATGTATCTATTTTGCAGATGTTCTTGTACACAAAACAAATGAAATATTCCCCATTATCAAGATAAATTGATCCTCTCAGGTCTGGCTCCAGTTTATTTAAAGACTTTACAATTTTACTACTTAAGAGAAAGTCCTACAGAGGTGTTATCTCACCATTTATATTTTCTCAACACTTATGATACTGCTATCACACTCTTAAAATAAAAAAAAAAGCTTGTATCGTGATCCGGACCAGGCTTGTGCTCTATTCCTGAGGTGGCTTTTTGCTTTTAAACAGAAAGGGAAATAGTTCTGTCCAACATTTAGGTAATTCCTTGAGCTCTGCCATTTGGTGGAGAAAAGATGCCCCAGTAACACTGGGGACTTGGGGGGGGTGATGGTGGAAGGAGGAGGAAACAGTTCTCCTTAAAATGTAAGCAAGTACAAGATTTTTAGATCTACATGTGTTAGATGTATATAAATATTAAAGTGATACAGAACATTATGAGCAATATTCAATGGTGAAGTTGTTCCTCTTTTTATTTTGGTATTAAATTGTGATTTACTAGCTTGTTACTTCGCAGTTACTCAGTATGCACAGAACAGATCACTGGTGAATTTAATGAGCCAGAGGAAGTAGTAGGGTGCACATGAAAAGCTTGTTTTACATTGTAGAGTGAGAGCTATTTGATATTTCTAACACAGTACAAAAGAAAG